CAGTGAGGGGGATCCTATTTTTAGCCCCGGGAGGGAGCTGGGAATTGATACACAGACTTGCTGGCTCCACGGGGAGTGGGCAGCAGGCCCAGGTTCCAGCACAGTCCTGGCTATGTGATTTCCAGTTGGTGCAGACCCCTTTCTGGTCTCTGTTTCTAAAGCTGGGAAATGGGTACAGAGACACAAGTCCTATAAGGTTTCTTGGCCACACCATGTTGCAGGGCCCGTGTGGGTTTTGGACACCCTTCTAGAAAAAACAGGCGGCTCCCCACTCGGGTGGGGGTGGGGGCACCCTCTTAAAAATTCACCCAAATCCTGCACTGTCCTCCTTCCCATGTTTTTCCTCCTCAAACATATTCCCACATCTGGGCCTTTGCACTGGTGGCTGTCCTGGCTGGAGTCCCCTTTCTGGGTCACCTGATGGCCTGTGCCCTCTCCTGATGTAAACTGGAGCCTCAGCTGCTCTGGGGGTCTCTCCCTGACCTCTCAGGGTCAGGTGTGCCCCCCATCATGTCACCCTGTTTCATCTTCATCTAGGTGCTTCTGTTTTGAAATGTCTTTATTCCATTTAACCTACTCGACCTTGCTTGAAGCTGGATCTCCAGCCCTGAGGCTGTGCGTGGCACATAGTAGGTGCTCAATAAATGTTGGTTGGTTGAATGAATTCATGTGTTCCCTCTCTCACCCCATGGGATTTTTGGTGTCTGTCTACACAGAGGTGGAGGGCAAATGGACCAATTCACACTTGATTTCCAAAAACAAGCCTGGAAGGGGGTGCTGGGGCCTCTGTCCCTGACCCCTGGCCTCTACCTTGACTTGTCCCTTTGAGCCAGGGTCCATGAAAATGCAATTTTAACAATTTTTAAAATAAGAAGGAAGAAGCAAATATACTGGTAAGGGATATGTGATAATACATCCAGCCTAAATTATGTTAGTTTTTTTTTTTTTTTAAGATTTTTGTTTATTTATTAGAGACAGAGCCGGGAGGGGGGAGGAGGGGAGGAAAGGCAGAGGGGAAGGGAGAAGCAGGCTTCCCGCTGAGCAGGGAGCCCGATGTGGGGCTCCATCCCGGGACCCTGGGATCATGACCGGAGCCGAAGGCAGACGCTTCACCGACGGAGCCACACAGAAGCCCCAATATTAGTTCTCATATCAACATAGTTGTAAAATAATCACATTTAGTACTTTTTTATGGACAAGACCCACGAGACAAAAGTGTCTAGGACCTGGGAAATTCATAATGCGGCTCTGCTCGACCCATTTTGCAGCGGGGAAACGTTTGGCTAGGGGTCCAGGTTGGGGTACACATGAGCGACACGCCACCGGGCGCTGGGGACTCCTTGGTGGGGTTGAACCAGAAACCTCCGTGGGGTGCGCGCACCACCTGCCGGGCACCTGCGGGGCTGCAGCGAGGAGCGGGGCCCGCACCCGGGCGCTGGCTCCCACAGGAGACCGCCAGGTGGCGCCGTATCACCTGAAAACAAGATTACTCGGCCAGACGGGGAAACTGAGGCCCGCGAAGTTCATTTTCTCCTCTGTAGCTCCTTTTGAATGCTCTACGGTAGAATTGCTAGATAAATACGGGATTCGCAGTTAAATTTTAAGTGTGTCACAACTATTGCACAGGACCTCCTTATACTAAAAAGCTTTTCAGGGCGCCTGGGTGGCTCAGGCGTTAAGGGTCTCCCTTCGGCTCAGGTCATGGTCCCAGGGTCCTGGGATCGAGCCCTGCTCGGCGGGGAGTCTGCTTCTCCCTCTGCCACTCCCCCTGCTTGTGCGAATGCTCACTCTTTCTCTCTCTCTCAAAAATAAACAAGAGCTTAAAAAGCTTCTCATTGCTTATCTGAAATTGAAATTAGCCCCTTCCCCTACCCACCCAGACCCCCCAAGGTTTATCCCTACCCGGTGGCCCTGGGGCATATCCCACTCCTCAGATTGACTGTGTTGCCTGGCGCCCAGTCTGATGACTGAGAACAGTCATAGTAATGGAATAATACACTGGAAAAATCTCCTCCTACCTTGGACCATGTCCCTCCTTGCTTACAAGCCCCCACAGCTCCCATCATCACCAGGAAAGACCCAACTCATTCCTGCAGCTGGCAATCTTCCCACTTCACCCTCCTCTGGCCACACAGGCCTTCTAGCTGTTCCTCAAACCCACTAGACATTTCCTGCCACAGGGCCTTTGCACTGTCTGTACCCTATATCCCTTTTGCTCTTCCACCATCTCCAAGCTGCATCCACATTTCCCAGACTCCCCTGTGCCAGGAAGCCTTCCTGGACTCGCCCCCACCAACGTCAGGATCCCAGTCACTCGCGCAGGGCTCACAGGTGTCTTTCCTAACCCTCATCACTGCAGTCACTTTGCACCTCCCCAGATAGTTTGCCCCTCCTGTCCACGACCAGACAGGGGCTCTGTAGAGGTTGCTCCTTGTCACCGCTGGGCCCAGCCGCCAGTGCAGAGCCTGGCACACGGGAGGGGCTCTGAAAACAAGATCCAGCTGAACAGGCTCCAAACCACTCCTCTTCCTGGACCTCCCTTTCAACCTTTTAACTGTGTGTGTTTTTCTGAGTTCATGGTAAATCCTAATACACACTTCACCAGGGTTCCCCTGACAGTGAGATTTTGCAAAATTGTACTACAGTATCACCACCAGAATGTCAACATCGATCCAATCCACCCACCTTATTTGGATTTCCCCATTTTTATGGGATAGAAGGGCTCCATCGTGAGGGTCCCTCATGTTGCCCACCCTCCTTCCTCACCACCCCTACACCCTTACCCTGGCAGCCACTCATCTTTTCTCCATTCCCATAATGTCCTCATCACAAGGGTGCTGTTAGGGGGACTCACAGATCACGTAATCTTGGGGGGGGGGGTCTTTTTGTCCCACGTGATTCTAGGAGATCTGACCCAGGGGCTGTGTGTCTGCATGGGGTGTCCACGACTGCGTACTGCTGAGTGGTGTTCCGTGGGGCGGACGGATCTGTTTGCCCAACCACTAACCGGTTGTAGGACACGCGATCTGTTTCCAGCATCGGCTGCCACAGGTAAAGCTGCTGGGAGCATATGTGAACAGTTTTTGTGTAATGGGACTTTTCATTTCTCTTAAGACGAAGGCCCCAGAGCCCCCTCTTTACCTTCTTTTTTAAAAATTCATTTTCCCAGTGGCGCCTGGGTGGCTCAGTCATCAAGCATCTGCCTTCGGCTCAGGTCATGATCCCGGGGTCCTGGGATCGAGCCCCGCATCGGGCTCCCTGCTCTGCAGGAAGCCTGCTTCTCCCTCTCCCGCTCCCCCCTGCTTGTGTTCCCTCTCTCGCTGTCTCTCTCTCTCTGTCAAATAAATAAATAAAATCCTTTTTTTAAAATTCATTTTTTCGTGCAGAAAAGGTGCCACTCCCTCTGCACACATCTCCTCTTTTAGCCCCCACAACACACTTGGTCATTTATCCCACAAATATTTACTCAGCCCTACTGTGCGCGGGGCCCTGGGACACAGTGGGGACCGAGTCAGACAGGCAGCCAGCAGGTGCAACAGGAGGACATGGGTGTTGTGATGGGGGAAGCACATGGATGAGAGGGTCCCAGGGGTGCTTTCCAGAGGAGGAGGCAGCTGAGCTGAGACCCGATGGGTGACTGAGGACAGCTGGCACAGCAGAGGGGCCCGCGTGTGCAAAGGCCCAGAGGGCAGAGGGATGGCACCAGTTCAAGCAGCTGCCGAGAGACCATGAGTTGGGAGGGTGGGGGTGGGGGCGGGCGGGGGTGGCAGGGCCTGCGGGCAAAGGGGGAGACTTTCACCCTCTTGTCTTGCCCAGTCTGGAGGCTAGTGTTGGGAGCAAGAACGAGCAAGCTTCAGGGGCACCCGCCTGGCTCAGTCAGTGTGAGTGTGTGACTCTTGATCTCAGAGTCATGAGTTTGAGCCCCACGATGGCCGTGGGGCCTACTTAAAAAAAAAAAAAAAAAAAAAAAGAACCAGTAAGCTTCAGGCAGATGTCAAAATGGCCCTGTGTTTTGGCTTCTTGGTCTCACAGTAACATCTCTGCCAGGTTGGATTGTTTGGAAGCCCATGATGTCCCCAGATAATCTGGGAGGACTGGGGCCCTCCCAGAGACGGGCGGTTGCCCTGCAGGGTGAGTAAGCCTCAGCCTGCAGGGCTGTTGGGGGAAGGCTGAATTAATGCTCCCCCCACAGCCACACCCAAGTGGCCTCTGGGTGGGACTCGGACAGCTCCCAGGATTCAGGGTGGAAAAAGCAATGTGGTGGGACTTCTGAGCCCAGGCCTCCAAGCCCTTGAAGTGGCGCCTTTTAGAAGCTCTGCCAAGGGACGAGTCTGACTGTCCCCAGCCCACCAGGCTGGGAAGAAGCCAGAGCGGCCGCACCGAGGCGTGAGATCAAAGCCTTCTTGGGCCTCCTGGTCCAGCTGAGCCCGGTCATTCCCCCAGAGTGGTGATGACAGTCTGCGGCTGCTGGGCCACCTTCTGCTTTGGGGTGGCTTGTCCTGGAGCCTCAGTCCTGCTCCTCACACCGGCAGCTCCGTGCTCCCAGGAGGACCTGTTTACTCAGCGATGCCCACCATTTCGCCAGCAGGACTCTGAACACTTGCCGGCAGTAGCACTAAGACCTTATTTCTGCCATTTTAAAATGCACACGGTGTTCACATTTTAATATTTCTGGGAAATGGGATGAAGCTTACAGTGTTACCATTGCAAGGCAGTGTGTGAAAAATGTCTGTTGATGCTTTGGGGGAAAGTTCCAGAGAGTGCCAGTATCCAAGTGTATTCATTTCAGGAAATACAGAAATAACTCATTACAATATCAATAGCAGCAAATTTGTACGGAACCATCAGGAGGACAAGACGTTTTCACTATGATTATGTTGCACAGAAATAAAGACATTAATTATAACCATATAGTAGCAGCTGCTCTTCAAGCAGCCCCTGTCCCAGAGGGGCCCAGCTCTATCCCCCAGAGTTGGCCCAGAGAGGGGCAGCGCGTTCCCTCAGGACACACAGCCTGGGTGCTCCCTCCGGACACACACACGGCTCCCTGGTGTCTGGGTCCTGGCGGTCGCCGGGTGGGCCGCCAGGCGGTGCAACTCCGTGTGGGGGGCGGTGGGGTCTGAGGGTCCAGACCCCCGGTGCTGCGGAGGCCTCCGGGGAGCGCAGGGGCAGACCCGGAGGAAGGCCTGTCGGAAGTGGGAGCCCAGGAATGCGTAGAGCAGCGGATTCAGCGCGGAGTTGCTGTAGGACATGCAGTGTGCCCAGATCTTGAGCGCGTAGGCGGTGTAGCTGCGCGGGTGCCAGGCGCCCGCTGGACCCACAGCCTGCAGCACCAGGAACAGCTGGATGGGGCCCCAGCAGGCAGCGAAGAGCAGGACCACCGCGGCCACCAGCCTGGAGACCCTGGCCCGCACAGCGCTAGCTCGCTCTGCCCCCAGCTGCCCCTGAGGGATGGAGGAAAGGCTATAGGCTGGCGGGGCAACCCGTCGGGGCTCCCCTCCATTTTATTTATTTATTTTGTTTTGTTTTGTTTTGTTTTTTAAGCTCTATGCCCAACGTGGGGCTTGAACTCACGACCCCGAGATCAAGAGCTAGCCAGGCACCCCCAGAGCTCCCCCTCTTGACCCCTGCGCAATCTCCCACTTTGCCACTCTCTCAGAGTCCTCCAGATGCGCCTCCCCACCCACCCAGCAGCGCACCTGCAGGGCGCTGTCGGTGGCCGCGGGGCGCACGGCGGTGCGGCCCAGGTGGCGCAGCATGGCCCCGTAGCAGGCACAGGTGGCGGCCAGCGGCAGCAGGTAGAGCGCCAGCAAGTTGTAGAGAGCGAAGGCCCGCTCGAGGGCGCGGCTGGGGAAGACCTCACTGCAGTAGGTGCGGGGCCCCGGCGAGAGGCGGTGCAGGGCGAGCACCGGCGCGGACACGGCCGCAGAGCCTGTACCACAGGGCAGCCTGAAGACCTTGCCCGAGGGATGAGGGGCGCCAGGAGGCCAGGACCCTGGTCCCCCCCCAGGTGCCTCCTCGGGCAGCGTCACCGAGCGCCTCCCAGGCGCGGGGGGGCCCTCAGGGTGCGCGCCTTCGGTGGCTCTTCACAGGGAGCGCTATTGAGCCCACTTCCCAGATGCACGCACGACCGAGGCCCGGACAGGGACAGTTGGGGGTGGGGGTGGGGGCGCCCGGGGCACAAAGGCTTGTCCTCCCATCCCCGTGCGGCCGTCGCGCTGCACTCACCCACCCAGATGCCGAGGCTGACCGCCAGAGCCAGGCGGGGCGTGCGGCGGTGCAGGGCGCGCAGTGGGAACACGGTCACGTACCAGCGGTCCACGCTCATGGCGGTCAGAGTGGCGCACGTGGCCTGAACCGAGACCTGCGAGGGCCGAGAGCGGGGCGTTTCTCCCGGTGTTCGGGCGGGGGCCTGCCCTGTCTGCGCCCACCCTGCGGCTCCCCCCCTCAGATGTCCAAACACTCGGGCACAAACGGGACGTGTCCTCGGAAGGTCTCCAGGGGCCACGGGTTGAAGGGGCAGGAGAGTGGGACACCACAGAGGAGCCCAGGATAGTGGAGGTTTGAGGGGGGCCATGTGCGGTCCGCTGAGACCCGGGGCTGAGACAGGGAGAGGATCGCGGGACGGGCGGGGCGAGAGGCCGCAGGGCTCGGACCGCCCCCTCTGTGCCCACCTCCGTACCCCGCATCCCTATCCTTATGTCTCGCAACTGCGGGGTCCTCCCCACCCCGGCCCGTTCCGGGCTCCACCTCTTCCTCGGCCCCGCCCCACCCGCCGTCCAGCCCCCCCCCCCCCAGCCCGTGCACCTGCTGCACGTAGTTGACGAACTTGCACATGAAGTCGCCCAGCACCCAGGCGGGCAGCGGGTAGAGCAAGGCCGTGAAGGGCACGCAGCACAACAGGAAGGTCACATCCGTGGCCGCCAAGTTGGCTGCAGGCAGGGAACGCACGGGGGGCCTCAACCACCCAACGCCCTTGGCCCAGCCCCCCGGTCTTTGCATTTCTCCGAGTAACCAGCAGGACCGCTGGTGGGAAGGCCCCCGACACCTTGGGCAGAGAATTTGGGGCACGCCCCCCAGTCTCCCACTTTTACATTGCAAACATCCCCCCAGCACGGGCTTCGTTGGCCATTCAAGCGCCAGTCCGCTGCTCACCCCCTGTCTGGGCTGGAAGAGCCTGAGCAGGCCCCTGCCTCGCTGAGCTTCGGTCTCCCCGTCTGCAAACTGGAGACGGCGGTGCTAGCCCACCCGTCACCATCGAATAGAGAAAATGAGCACTCACCTGTGCCAGGTAGGCCGGCCCATCACACAAATGTGTGAGCCGAACGATGGGGGCAAAGGTCGCAAACTGGGGGGTCCCGTAGCCCCTCCCCGGACTTCCGTTCATTGTTATAAGAGCCACATTTTAATCAGGCACCGTCCTCAAGTGGCAGGGCCGAGCTCTCCGTGGCCCATTGTCCAAGCTCCCTTTGAACTACCCCGCATGGAACCCTCGCCCGCAGAGCTCTGGAGCTCTAGCCCAAGACCGCAGGGAGAGGACCTGTGTGGAGGAGCCACGACGCGCCGCTACGGGGCGCCGCGGCCGCTCTCCTCTCGCGGGGACCCCCGGAGCGGCAGGCAGGGACCGTGCAGCTCACCTATGTAAAAGTTGGTCACCGTCCGCATCTGCTTGTGGCGGCAGATGACGAAAATGACAAGAGAGTTCCCTGCCAGGCCGAGCAGCATCAGCGCGGCGAAGAACAGCGGCACGAGCCAGGCGTCCACCGGCCGCGGCTCGGGGTCCGGGCCGTCCGAGGCGTTGGCCAGCGCCCCCCAGGACGCGTTGGGGGCCGACGTGGCCAGGGCGCTCATGGCTTCTCCGCCCTCTTCGTCCTGGCCGCCCGCCGGACTGCGCCCCGAGATCGCCGCGGGGACCCTCCTCCTGGCCGCCCGCTGGGGACACGCCCGCGGAGCCCGGGGAAGGGTCTCGGCTGGAGGCCACCGGGTCTGGAGGGCGACTCCGCTGGGCTGGGCAGCTTCTCTGCTCCCGACGCAGCCCCTCGAATTTATACCCTGCTGCCGGGCCTGTCCCCGCCTTCCCGCCTCCCCTGCAGCCGCTCGTCATTCCCTCTCCTTCCTGCGCGCCCCCCATTCACGCGCACTGCAAACTTCTCCCCCTTTCTTCTCCTCGCACAGTCCGGCGAGCGAGCGCACAGGAGGGGACAGGCCGGAGGGGGGGTTTGGGGGTCAGGCGAGAGGGGCAAACAGCGTGGAGGCTGCTGGGGCCCCAGAAGGACGATCCTAACAGGAGGTAGAGACTCCGAGGACGGGCAAACCGCCCGGACCAAAACACAGACGCAGGAGTAGGCAGCTTGTTAGTGGCCATGACTTTGACCTCTCAAGTGGCTGGGGCTCCAGATGCAAGGTGGGGCACTGGAGAGCCATGGACGGCTCAGAGCAGGGCAGGGCTGCCCAGGATCTAGCGGTTAGAAGACGCCTGGTCTTAACTCAACCTCGCCAGGACTCCATTGCTGTAAATGGGAGAGTCTGCCCCCACCTAACTGGCAGCGGAGAGCAGATACTCCCACTGGGGACATGGGCCCCTGGGCCCCTGGTGGTAGGAACGAGGTGGAGGGCAGTTTGCAAGGACACTGTTGGCCCCCCAAGGTTGCTAGGATGGAGGATCTCTTTGGGGGGGGGATGTTGTTGAGTCTAAGGGCCTGGGAGAGGACCTTTGAGGTGGGGGCCATGGGCAGCAGTGGCCACAGCAGCTCCTGGGCAGGCCAGGAGTCCAGGAGGGTGTTAGGAAGGTACCACACAGGTTTCCTGGGAAGGAGACTCCAGTATCAGGGTGAGGCCCACACTGCATCCTCTAGAATTAGCACATTCATTGAGCAGTTAGTCATCACGGGCCAGACCAGGGAACCAAAGGCTCCCGGGCCCCCCAGGGCCCCCTCCCCATCCCTCTGCCCAGAGGTGCCCTCTCCTGGGATTTGTGTCACCACTGAGTCCTGTTGCCTCTTTTCACATTTATCTATGTGATGTCACACAGCACATCCTTTTTGGGGGTCTTTTAGCAGCTCCTCCTCCTTATCATAACTCCTTCCTCACCTGTTGCTCTTTATTTGTTAAAGCAATCGGGTCATTCGACCCGCACAATTTCTAACAGGCTGCATGTGGTGGGTTGTATCCCCGTGGTGTCACTTCACATGGTCCTGGATCCCCACTCTTCTTCATGGACCTGGATCCCCACTCTTCTTGTAGACGGAAGGGTGGATTCTAGATTCCACAGTAGGTTTAATTCTCTTCTCTAAACCCTCTCATAGCTCCCCATTGCCTCTGAACAAAAACCGGACCTCCCATCACGGGACCGCCAGGCTCACGGATCCACCCTCTGCCGCCTACCTCCATCCCCCTCGTGCTCACTCATCACACTGCTCTGGTCACTCTGGATGCCGCAGGGCCTTTGCACTGGCTCTTCTCGCCGCCTGATTCGCCCTTCCCACTTTGCAGCTTACCAGTCTCTCTCTCAGAGAACTCCTCTTCCCTACCCACTCAGTGGGGAAGGGGTCTGTCTTGGTCCCTGCTGCATCCGCAGAGCTCGTCCCTGGGCCCTGCCCACAGGGGGCGTTTGTGAAATGAACAAATCCTTAAAGGTGGAAGGGGGTGGGATGTTGTCCTACTTTTAGAGATGAGTAAACTGATGCACCCAGACCATGCTCCCCGCGCTGCACTGGAACAGAGGGCTGGGAGGGGCTGGTGGAAGGAAATGCCAACTTGGTGTTGGGGGTTGGGTGGTCTGGGGCTTGGGTCATTTCATCTGTCCCCCGCCTCTGAAACGGATGTCCCCCTCTTTCCTGGCTACCCAGGCCTCAGTTTCCCCGGCCATCTACGGGAGGCTGGGTGCCCCGCCACGCCCCCCCCCGCCCCCCCCGCAGCCCGGCTTCAGGGGCAAGGATCACGCTACCTCCCCCCTCAGTTTCTTCGTCTGTTCCTCCGGGCTGGGTGTCCCCCCATCCCACACCCGCAGACTGGGGGCTTGGCCGCGGTCCCCGTTCTCCGCCTCGGTTGTCCCGTTTGTCCCCGGGGCTGGGGGCTCGCCGCCCGCAGCCCGGGATCTAGCTGGCTGCGTGGCCTCGGCCCCCGCCCCGCGCGTCCGGCCTCCAGGCTCCGCCCCGGCCCGCCTCTGGGCGCCCGTCACTTCCTGCTCGGCCCCGAGAAGGCCCTGCCGGGCGGCGGCGACAACACAGGTCGAGCCATGGTCGCGCTGGAGAACCCGGAGGGCGGCTCGGAGGAGGCGGTGGCGGCGGTGGGAAGCGCCCCAGGCGGGCGGCGGACGCTGTGAGCGCGGCGGGGCGGGCGGGCCATGCCTCCTGGGACTCCAGCACCCCCTCCTCTCCTCTCTCCCCTCCTGTCTGGCTGCAGCCCCAGGCCGTCCCGCCCCTTTTCTTTGAGGAGACCCCAGACCGCGGTGGGGGTGGGGTTAGGGGGCTTCGTTGCCACCCGGGGAAATCCCATCCCCGACACGCCCGAGTATTTGGGCAGAGGGGGCACACCCCGTTTACGCGTTTACATGCCTCCGGGGCCCAGAGGTGCCCCCCCAACCCCGTGCCCGGGTATTGACTCACTTTGGGGGGGGTCTCATGCGCCTTGTCACCGGCTCAGGTGAGGTGGTGCCGCTGCGCGCGGTGTCCCCGGAAACCGCTTTGGTGTGGTTCTGGGTATTTACCCACAAGCCGCTCTTCTTGTCCCCAAGCTGGGTAGGTACCCCACAGCCAGTCCTGCGCTTCCCTGTGGGGATTATCAGCCCCCCACCTCCTGAGTAGACAGGGCTCTTTGTTCCTGAGTACTTGACAGATTAAATGTGTGGGGTGCTTAAAATCCTGGGTCAGCAGGAGCTGAAGAGGGTGGGGCCACCCGCTCTGGGTACAGACCCCAGAGGGTCTGGGACAGATCCCTGTTTAATCAGGGTGTTCCCGCAGAAACCCGTGCCATCCATCCTGTGGTCCTGGTTGTGGGGTGGGCAAGGAGACCACTGCCTCCTCTGTGTGCTGGCCCAGCCGCCTGAGCAGTATATGCCTCAGTTTCCCCATCTGTAAAATGAGATATAATAGTGGCCTCTTCTCAGAATGGCTGGGATGGGGTGGGGGGAGGTCAACGACCATGTGCTCAGAAGAAAGCATCCGTTTTTTTCTTTTCTTTTTTAGGATTTTATTTATTTGACAGAGAGAGAATGAGCAGGGGGAGTGGCAAAGGGAGAAGCAGACTCCCCTCTGAGCGGGGGGCATGTGGGGCTCAGTCCCAGGACCCCGAGATTATGACCCAAGCCAAAGTCAAATGCTTAACCAACTGAGCCACCCAGAGGCCCCAGGAGCATCCATTCTTTAACTATTATCTGAAACATCTTATTATTTAATTTGTTTCATTATTGTTTCATTATTACACTTATTATTACCTCCTTGTTATTTCCACCTGGGCCTTTACCCAGAAGCCATGTGGGTCTCTACAGATGTGGGTATTTACCTTCTTTTAAGGGGCCTTACCCATGCAAAGTGGGTATTAACCTGCCAGTGGGTCCCCACTGATGTACCCCGGTGTTCCTTCACCCCTGTGTGTCCCCGGGGGTGTGGTCACTGCTGGGGGCCCCAGCTGGCCCCACCCCAGCCTGAGTCACCTCTCCGCTCTGAGCCTTCCCCCGCCTCGGTTTCCTGCTTCGGGAAATAGGTTCCTCTCTTGCCTGTTCCTGGGGGAGGGGACTGGTGCCAGAGAAAGTAGATTTTAGCCCAAGAGAACAGGTGTCAAAAGGCCTCATTTCAAAACCTGCAGGGAACAGAGTTCGGGGAGACAGAGGGGCCTATTCTCCCCAAACTCAAACCTGATTTAGCAGGTGTTTCTACCTTGGGCCTGTCCACCTTCATTGGGCACAAGCAACTTTCACGATGCAGACACTTCCCGAGTCCTGTCGGGTCCAGGAAGCCACAAGTGCCCTGTCTGGGTCCTCAGTTTCCCCACCTGTAAAGTGGTCTCTTTGGGTGGCCTGGAAAATAGCTGAACTGGCCCTTGGGCAGGTGCTGGGGACACTCCTCTTTGTAAGTGTCTGATGTGGGAGGTGAGGAGTAAGTAGTAAACAGATACGTGGACCAGCTGATTGGGCTAGTCAGGAGCAGGGTGGTTTCTCCCAGGAGGTGACATCTGAACAGAGACCAGAATGTTCTGAGAAAGTGTACTTGAGGCAGAAGGCTCAACATGTGCAAAGGCCCTGAGGTAGACTGTTCCTGGTCTGGAGCAGAGGACCCTCAACCTTGATTACAAATCTGAATTGCTGGGTATTTGTGGGCTGCTGCTTCTGCCCTGCCCACTTCCGCTGTCCTCTCTTTCCTGAGTGGGGGTCCAGGCCCAGCAGTTGACCCTGGAGGCCACATGTTTCTTGCCTTCTGCTGGAATTTGGTTGAAGTCAGCAAGCTTGAGTTGGTGGTGGGACTCAATTCCCGGTGCTCAGCTCAGTGCACGAGGCCCACGAGGTGGTGGTGAACCCTCCGAAAGCCTGTGGGGCCAGGCACAGACCCCTGTGTTCCCGGTACAGGACAGGGCAGGGCTGGGCCTTGCCCTGAGCGTTCTGGGGAGCCATGCATGGTGGTGGCGCAGGGGAGGGCCCAGCTGGGACTTAACTAGGTAGGGGGAGTGGAACTCTGTGGGCTCAGAGAAGCAGCAGGTTGAATGGTTCGAGGGGAGTGTCCCCGTTCAGGCCAGGTTCAAATCCTGGCTCTGCCACCCTCGCGAGGTGATGGGGAAGCCCCATGTCCCGAGGGCTCAGCCCTGCTCTGACATCTCCTGATAGGTGCCCCCGGATGCGGACTCTGTTATCGGCCCCAGCAGGCTGCTATTCTGGACTTGGCCCAGCTGCCAGGGTAGAGACACAAGCACTGGAGCCCTGGGGAGGCCGTGGGTGAGCTGGGGCTCACAGTGGGGGTGCTCGGGCCTCAGGGAGGCAGCCCTCAGGTTGGAGCCAGCCTCACAGTCACCGGCTCTGTGCTGACTTGATTTGCCTCGTCCTGTCTTTGCTGCCTTCTTTGCAACGGTGGGATCTCGGTTTAGTGACTCTGTGCCTCAGTTGCAATTCTGTATAATGGGCATCAACTTGATATCCCTGGTCTCCTGGCATGATCGTAATGGTGAAAATGAACATTCAGTCCAGGGACGATGCTGTGATCAACAGTGTGACGTAGGGGGTGAGCTCCCCGTAACAGGAGGAAACCAAGCAGGCAGTGCCTGAAGTCAGTGGGGGCAGGCACCTGTCCTGGCCCTCTTGGCTCTGAGTGTCCCCTTTCAGACCCACGGGCACCTTTTTATCTTCGCTTTGCAGAGAGTGAGCTGAGGCTCCAGGTAACACAGCGAAGCATCCTAGCTGGGATTTGAACTCAGGGCTGAGATTCCAGGGTCCACCCAGTGCCTCTTCCTGTGTGTCCCTGTTGATGGGTGCTTGTTCATGTGTGAGTTTATTCATGAGGCAACAGCATGGATTTTGGTGGAAACTGTTAACTACCGAGCCTTGGGCCACTTACCTGCTCCACTGTGACGGTCAGGCAGTGCGGAGTCTCATCAGCCTGTTTGGTTTTTGATCAAGATGTGATGGCCATTCTGTATCACACAGATACTTAATGCTGGGGACGCTTTACATACGTATAGACCCTGAGGAGCACTGACTTCCTTCCTAACCCCTGCAAGGGTACTTGTCTCCACCGTCCTAGAGTTTCATGGTTTGGAGGGGAGAGGCCACACTTGTTTTTAGTTTTTGTCCTGGGAACTTGGGGTACTAGGAAAGTTTGGAGGGGTATTTTGGACTCTCGGTTCCACTCAGTCTTGGAATCGTGGGATTATTTTGAGAACTGATCCGGCGTCCCCGGCATGGCTGTGAATGTCTGCGTGGGGATTACCGTGCTGTGGGCGAGGTGGGCAGTTATCAATGAAGTAGAATGTACCGCGATCAGAAAAACAAAGCAGTGAGGTTTACACAGGGGGTCGGGGGCTCTTGAGAGGTTTGAACAGAGCCAAAGGAGATGAGTGAGTGAGCCATTCAGAGTCTGGGGGAGCATGCACTGGGCAGGGGGCACTGCCTGTGCAGAGGCCCCCAGGTGGGACTGTGCCCGGCATGCTGGCGGGGCGGCAAGGCCTGTGGTCTGGGGGTCATCGGGGGCTGACCAGGAAGGTGGGAACTCCTTGCCAGGACATTTCCATCTAGCGCCCCCTCCCACTCCCTGTGTCTGCAGGTGGCCCTCGAGTCCCCAGTGGGAGTCCTGGCCAAGCTGCTAATCCGTCTCCACCATTAATGCCATTTGCCAGGAGGAGGACAGATTAGTTCCAAGGGGGCCACTCCAGCCCCACCTCTGGGCACATTTCAGGGGGACTCCGGGGACTTGAGGCAGATGGGCTCAGGCATCACCTTGAGCTTCTGGAGGCTGTTGCCTGGTTTATCTGCTGCTGGCACGGGAGATGCTCCATTAAATCAAGTCTCCTGAGAGACTCCCAGAGGAGGGTGGTGGTCAAATCCCGGAGACTCTGGGTCCTGCCAGCTTGCAGTTACGATCTGGAAGCCTGGGGGAGAGGGGAGAAGCTTTTCTTGGCCACCCACCCACAATGTGAATTTGGGCAAGTGTCTTCTCTTCTCCGGGCCCTAGTTTCCTAATCCGTCGTCACAATTGTACAGGCCTCCTGGGTGATGTGACCATGAAACAAAATGAAATTTTTTTTTTAAAGATTTTATTTATTTAATTGACAGAGAGAGAGAGAGAGAGAGAGACAGAGAGAGAGGGAACACAAGCAGGGGGAGTGGGAGAAGGAGAAGCAGGCTTCCCGCAGAGCAAGCAGCCCGATGCGGGGCTCGATCCCAGGACCCTGGGACCATGACCTGAGCCGAAGGCAGAGCTTAACCAACTGAGCCACCCAGGCGCCCCAAAACAAAATGAAATTTGAAGGGTCTGGGGTTCCACAGAGCTCCCCATTGCTGAGGGAAACCAAGCAGGTGATGGCTATGGTACAGGGGCTGTAATGGGGTTCTGCCTGGGGGTCCTGGCCTGTGTTGGCCCTGAGGCCTGCCTCCCCACCCCAACCCCGGCCCACAGGCCCCTTCCGGGCTGCCTGCCCGCTCTAGCTGGCTCCCAGGTGAAGAGGCTGTCAGCCTCCAAGCGGAAACAACACTTCATCAACCAGGCTGTGCGGAACTCAGACCTCGTGCCCAAGGCCAAGGGGCGGAAGAGCCTCCAGCGCCTAGAGAACAGTGAGCAGGGCTTGGGGGCACCTCCTGGGGGTTCCTAGGGCTCACATGAGAATGGTGTGTATGTTGGTATTATCTGTTGCTTTTGCCACGAGTCTGACCCTGAGCTGGGCAATGCTGGGGCTGGGCCTTAAGGAGCTCTGGGCATTGGAGCTTGGGTTTTCAAAGATGTCTAGGAGTTCAACAAGCCTGGGAGGAGTAGGAGTTCTGGAGGTCGAGGCTAGATGGTTTCTGTGCCTTCTGGGAAAGACAGTTGGAGCTTGGAGGTGGGGAGACTGGTGTGAGCCAGAGGGTAAAGGCCCTAAATGCAGAGACCAGGGGTTTCTATGGAGACTGGGGGGCCGCAAGTGCCACCCCCCCCCCCAGCCCAGAGACCATCTGTTTCCATCTAGCCCAGTACCTCCTAACCCTGCTGGAGACAGACGGGGGCACAGCTGGTCTGGACGATGGGGACCTGGCCCCCCCGGCAGCACCCGGGATCTTCGCAGAGGCCTGCAGCAATGAGACCTACGTGGAGGTGGGGCTCCCGTGCCCTCCTCCCCCCTCTGCTCTGGCCGCACTGGCCCCTCTCTTGTTCTCACCACACCTGGCCTGTGCTGGTCCCTCCCTCAGGAGTGTCCATCTGTACCCATCCCCCTCTGGTCCCTTGATGAACACCCTCTCTGTCTCCCTTGGGCTCCCCAGACCAAGCCAGAGCTCCCACCACACCCCAGAACTTCCCAGCACTCCCGATTCATCTGCCCACCATTGGGAATGAATGAGTCCACTGAGGGCGTGTTTGGCCCATGTCACTCACTCCCCTGCCCCAGACAGGCAGGTCTGCGGGCACCCCATAAACTCCTGGCCAAGCCCAGTGGGCAGATGTGTCTCCGAGGAGTCTGTCCACACCCTCTGGCCCTCTGTGCCCATTGGCTAAATGGAGAACCTGGGGCCGGAGACACGCAGTCATTAGCCTGGGTCCTGCCTTCCTCTCTTCTAGGTCTGGAATGACTTCATGAACCGCTCTGGGGAGGAACAGGAAAGGGTTCTCCGCTACCTGGAGGATGAGGGCAAGAGCAAGACACGGAGGAGGGGGCCTGGCCGCGGGGAGGACCGACGGAGAGGTGTGGGCCTAGACGGGAGGTTGGGAGGACCAGAGGAATGGAGGGGGGCCTGGCTGATCGTGGTTTGGGCGGGCCAGGAACGGGTGGGGAGGAGCCTGCGTGGGGGCGATGCCCCTCCCCCCGGGACTGGTGGGGAGGAGCCTGGTGAGTGGGCGGTACCTTGGGGCGGACAGGTAGGGAGGAGCCTGGTGTGGGGGGCGGTGCCCCGGGGAATGGGTGGGGAGGAGCCTGGTGAGTGGGCGGTACCTGGGGCGGGGGACAGGTAGGGAGGAGCCTGGTGCGTGGGCAGTGCTGGCTGGGGCGGGTGAGGAGGAGCCTGGTGCCTGGGCGGCGGTGGTTGGGGGGGAGCTTGTGGCATGGACCGTGCCTTGGGGGACGGGTGGGGAGGAGCCTGGTGAGTGGGCGGTGCCCGGGGCTGGTGGGGAGGAGCCTGGCTTGTGGGCAGGCCAGAGGCTTGCTCCAGCGGCTGCCCCACTCAAGGAAATCTTGTAGAGGACCCGGCCTACACACCTCGTGACTGCTTCCAGCGCATCAGCAGGCGTCTGAGAGCCGTCCTCAAGAGGAGCCGCATCCCCATGGTGAATACCAGGCCAGGCCTCATCTTTCTCCACCTGCTTGGTCTTTCTTGATGGCCTTTTTTTCTCACCTTCTGAATTGGCGGTGGTGTGATGGGAGATCTTTTACCCAGTGCAGGTGGTGTTGGTGGAGACGAGGCAGAATACAGACCAGATCAGTGTGATCAGCGTGCAGGAACCAGGGCTGGGAAAGGGCTTTCCCTGAGGGGGGCGGGGCAGGGACAATGCAGGTCGGTACTGCAGGATGTGTAGGAGTTCACGAGGCAGAAGGCACAGGAGTTCAACGCTATGGCGATATCTCAGTCCTGCTATCTTTGGAAGGGGTTAGGTAGCCTCGTGTAGCAGGTCAAAGGCCACATTTGAAGCTAGGACTCTGGGCTCCAAAGGCAGCCCTGGGCGCGGGGCCTGGACAGCTTGTCCACAGTCTCACGGTTGGCCTCACCCCTAGACCCGTTTCTCCTGCAGGAAACGCTGGAGACCTGGGAGGAGCGGTTGCTGAGGTTCTTCTCTGTGTCTCCCCAGGCCGTGTACACGGCCATGCTGGACAACAGGTGACTGGGTGGGAGTGAGCGCCGTGTGCTCCGCCAGGGGTCTGGCTCTGGCCCGCGGCCACTTACCATCCATTCCCCTCCAGTTTCGAGAGGCTCCTGCTTCACGCCATCTGCCAGTACATGGACCTCATCTCAGCCAGTAAGTGCTGCTGGCCCGCAGGACCCCACCTGGCTGATGCAGCCCAGGGAAGCCAAGGCCAGAGTCACGCAGGGTCTGGTTACTCAGGGGGAGACTTCTCGGGGAGGAGGGGCGGCATGAGCAAAGGGTGGGTGGTGGGACTGATGATGACGAATGATGAATGATGATGCTCATCAGAGGCCCCTCGTGAGCCTGGCTCCATGCTGGGTGATGCCGTGGGCCAGATGCTCCTCAGTCTGCATCTTCAGGGCTGCAGGGAGAAAGGGGCCTGTGTGGCATCCGGGGCCCCAGGACGAGAGGCAAAGTTTGGTTTAGCTGTAGCCCCCCTCCACTGTGCCACACATGTGACATTGACCAGTCCCCCAGAGAGGGTCCTCACAGGCCCTTGCTGCCTCTGGGTGCCCCACTGGGTCCTTGCTCCTCATTGGCGCCTCCTGCCCAGAGTTGCTGAGGAGACGGTTTCCATGGCAACCCTAGGATGGTTCCTCCTAAGTCCTCCCGTGGTGGATTCGCAGCCCCCATACCTCTCTTTGTTCCCACAGACTCAGGACGGAAGGGCTGGGCTGGGGGGGTTGCTTCTCTGTGGGAGTTGAGCCGAGGCCTGAACCCAGAGGAGGTTGGGCCCTGAACAGATGGGGAGTAGGGGAGTCGGAATGGCCCAGGTAAAGGCCCAGCAGTGGGACCGAGCTTGGGGTACACTGGGCTAGTTCAGGTTTGGGAGTGAAGGGAGGTGAGGGAGAGGGAGGCTGGTGGGGGCTGGGGTCCCCCGTGAGGGCAGGGATGGAGGTGGTGACCTGGGGGCCCAGGACTCCCGCGGTCCCGTCACTGCTGCCCTCCTTGCCCCCCTCACAGGTGCCGACCTGGAGGGCAAGAGGCAGATGAAGGTCAGCAATCGGCACCTGGACTTCCTGCCACCGGGGCTGCTCCTGTCTGCGTACCTGGAACAGTGCAGCTGATGGCAGCCCCGTCCTGCCCCCCCCCCACGCTGCCTCCCCCTTGCCCAGACCTCGGATACCATTTGCTACAGTATCTATTATTTTGAGAATTTGTCCCTGTGGACACGCTCTTCCCCTCGGGTGGCTCTCTCTCACCCTGGCCCCTTCCCTGTCCACCTCTCCCAGATAAACGCTGGGGGCTGGGGCCACCCCGGACTGGCCTGGCCTTGCAGCTCCCCGCTCTGGGACTTGTATTCGAGCGAGGAGACCCGGCCTGGTCACCTCCGTGTTCCTTCGTTCTGCTTTTCCAGCCTCGTTTGAAGCTTAAGCGAGGAATGAGAGGCTGGGTTTTTATCACTTTTAATGAATTTGGCATGATTTGTTGTAGATTTTTAAATTTCCCTTTTGGGAAGAAAAACCAAAAACTTGCCCCAACTGATAAATTGGGGGACTTTGTTCTAGTCCCTGCTTGACCCCCCCCCTTCCCAGTTTTTGGCTTGGGGGGTCTCTGGGGCTCTGCCCCTTTTTCCAGGAGTGTTCTGTCGTATGCCCATGTGCGTGTGTGCGTGTGTGCGTGTGTGTGTGTGTGTGTGTGTGCGCGTGCGCGCGTGCGTGCGCAACCTAGGACAGAAGGTACATCTTAAAGGCTGGTTTTACCACCTTTTGGGAATGTGTGCTGTTCTCCCCCTGGTGGCTTTTGGTGGCTCCTGTGGCCCTGTCTGCTCTGCACACCTCCTCCCTTCGGACTGGGGGATCGGGACTTCCAGCCAGAAGCCTCTGCCCTCGGACTGCCCCATTCCCCTCTTCGTGTCCCCTCCCCCCCCCGCCCAGCTCTGGCCTGTTGCCTTGGGGTGTCCTTGCACTGGTCACCCTGGCGTGTCCCACAAGAGCAGAGCTGGGGGACACCCCTCCCGTGTGTGTGGCTGGTTGTGCTTTGGGAAAAGTAGAGAGTTCAATAAATTTCTGGTGCTCTGGTCTCCAGCTGTGGGGTCTTCTTTCCTCCAGTAGGTGTTCAGGAGGTGCTTAGGTCCTGGTCACCGAGGGCTGCAGGCCTCGGGGGATGAAGCTTCACACTGAGGGACCCCCCACCTGTGGGGCCGGTGTACGGGGAGATGCTGCTGGGAGCCCTGGGTCCATCGGCTCTGCTGCCCTGGTTTGTCCCCTTCCCAGGTGCCCGGGTTCAGACCCCAGCTCAGCCACTTCCAGGCTGTCAGTAGTCCAAAAAGTCACTTGTATGAGCCTCCCGGGGTGGCCACAACGAAGTGGCTGTGGCTTAAAAACCACAGGAGTTTGTTGTCTCCCAGGCCTGGAAGCCAGAAGTCCAAACTCAATCAGGCAGGCCCCCTGAAGCTCCAGGGGAGGGTCCTTCTTGTGTGTTCCGGCTTCCGGGGGTCCCTGGCGGTCCTTGGCTTGTGGCCGCATTGTTGCAGCCCCTGCCTTTGCCTTCCCCGCGCTTCCCTGCGTTCCTTCCCATCGTCTTCTGTCTGTGCGTGTCTGGGCCTGGCCGGGGGTCCCGCAGGACGTCCCCAGTCCGGGTTCGTCCCGTCAGGGGTCCTTGCTGCCCAGGCGGCTCCTGCCTGCGGACGCTGGCCCTGGGCCCCTGGCCGGGCGTGCTGGTCCTGCTTTGCTCCTGGGAAGCTTCTTCCCCGCCACACTGTCCTCAGGGCGCAGCTGACGCTCGGGGGTGGGAGCTGGGAGGCGCCTCCCTGCGGGCGGAAGATCTGTGTTCACGACCGGGAATTCTGCAGGGACTTTGGTCTCTTCTCCCTCAGGTGTTCCCTTATTCAGCCGTTGGTATCAGTGGGGACACATGAGGATTTACTTTCTAGTTTGGGTTATGACCCAATACTACTCTACTCCGTCGTTGAGATTGTTCCGGGTTCGGCCCGTGTCTGAGGCAGCCCATCATCGTGGGGTTTGATTTTTTGAGCCCCGTCCCTTCTGGCACAAGATGGTCCACCTAGGCTTGTGTGTGGAAACCCAGATGTGGACACTCGGGTGTGCTGCGCCCCGTCTTAGCAGACGTTTTAGAAGTTTAAAGACAGACGCTAAAGAACGCACGCCCACGTGGTGGCACGGTGGGCAGGGAGCACCTGGCGGGCCCACGTGAGAGACGGAATCCCAGGTCCCCGCAGGACACCGGGGACCTTGACTGCAGCTAGGGTACTGGCGCGGCGTCATGCCGCCCCCGTGCCGGGATCCCCGGGACCGGTCCTGGGCGGGGTAAGAGCCTCCCCCGTGCGGAGCCTCAGTTTCCCCACCCGCGAATGTCAGAGACGAGTAAAATATGGAACGCTTCACGAATTTGCGTGTCATCCTTGCGCAGGGGCCATGCTAATCTTCTCTGTATCGTTCCAATTTTAGTATATGTGCTGCCGAAGCGAGCACAAAGCACCGCTTGACCCAGGCAGTATTTATAGTTCTCAGAGTAAATACCTTTACACAAAGGGTGAATTTTTTTTAAAGTGAGCGGACCGCATTCTTTTCCAGATTTGTACAACATATAGAATAACGAAATGGGATCATTCACTGAAGTTGAGAGAGCGTTCACTGTTCTGCCAAATATAACTCAGGTGGCTGCTGGGACGCCACTAAAAGTCCTATGCAAATACGCCGGAAGCGGGGCTGAGTCGCCGCCTTCCCAGAAGTCTCTGGGAAGCGGCCGCGCTGCGCGGGCAGCTCGTTGATCCCGGGGAAGATGGCGGTGCCGGAGCCGGGGAGCTAGGGCGAGTGCAGGCAGCGGCTGCCTGCTCGGCTTGGCGCCTGGGCCGGCTCGGTGAGCGCGGGGCTGCGGGGGCCGGAGAGGTCGGCCAGCCTCCGGTCGACGCCCGCGGTCGGGGGGAACGCAGCCCGGAGGAGGCGGGACGAGCGGGCCGGGGGCGGGGCCTGCGGGGTCAGAGGGCGGGCCTCGGGGGACAGAGGGTGCTGGGCACACGGCCGGGGGCGGGCGGGCGGGGTCTGGGGCTTGTGGCGGAAACTTGTGTGAAGCCGGGGGCGAACTGGGGGTCGGAAGGAGAGCCGGGGGAGGTCGGGCGGGGCCTGGGGGCGGGGCCTGGGGGGCGGGGCTCAAGGGTGATGGGGGATTTGGCGGTGGGACCGGGAGGGCCCTGTGTACGGCGGTAGAGCCTGGCAGGCGAAGGGTTTGGGGTGTCTGGGATGGAGTCTGAGAGTTTAGGCCGGGCCTGGGGGCTCAAGGGGCAATCCGAAAAAGATTGTAGGGGATGGGCTTGGGGATGGAGGCTTTGGGGGCGGGACTTAAGGACTCGCTGGGGCTTGTGGGCGGGGCCTTGGTGTTCCGGGTCAGGGCTTGGAGAAGTAGGGGGACCTGGGGGTAGTGACTGAGAAAAATGGGCCTGATCGCACTTGTAATCTCGTTGGACTCCTGTGAAAGAAAGGAAAGTAATCTATAATCGACGCTGGCACGTAGGGAACCGCGAGGAGAGGTTCGCCATCATTACTTTCGTTAGACTTCCAAGTCCCAGCTCTGCCTCCCCCGGAGGCGGTGTCCTCGCGCTCTGGCGCTCTCGCGTATCTGTGGGCTCTTCCTCCAGGACTGACCCAGGGCCCGACCTCTGCGCACACTGCCCACCGCCCTCATCATTGCTTTCTTGGACCAGTGCATTCACCTTCACCCCATCCCTGGCTGTGCACTCCAGACCGCCAGAGGGGTCCTGTTCAAATGTAGGTAGCTCACAGCCCTCTGGGGGCCCCCCTCCCACGAGGGTGAAAACCTCTAGGGCCCTGCAGGACTTGCCCCTGTCACCTCCTGCCCCCACCTTGCCCTCTTTCCCTTCGCTCATCCCCTCCAGCCACATGGGCCGCTTGGCCACTCCTCCAACCCGCGAGGGGTCATCCGCCCTCTGGGTCTTTGCACAGGTGTTCCCTCCACCTGCAGTGAACCTCCCCCGGATATCTGCATGCCTTGCTCCCTCACAACTACACTGGGATGTTGTCTTCCTGATTGGGCCTCCCTGTCCTTCCATGTTTATTTATTTATTTCATTTTTTAAAGGATTTTATGTATTTATTTGAGAGAGAGCTAGAGAGCTTGAGTCAGGGGCAGAGGCAGAGGGTGAGGGAGAAGCTGACTCCCTGCTGATAAGGGAGCCCGACACCGGGCTTGATTCCAGGACCCTGAGATCATGACCCCAGCTGAAGGCAGATGCTTAACTGACTGAGCCACCCAGGCGCCCCTCCCTCCATGTTTAAAATGCAGCTTCCCTTACAACAACACACGAGACCCAAGGGCAGGGATTGGGTTCATTTCATTCCCTGTGGTAAGCCGGCATCCTGCAGGCGCTCAGAACGTCCTGTCAACCCCCTCCCTCAGGAGCTGCTGACCATCCTCATCCTTGGTGTGTGACCTGTGGCATGTGGGCACAATGGATCTGGCTTACGTCTGTGAGTGGGAGAGATGGCCCAAGAGTACCCACTGCCCGTCAGTGCCCCTGGCCTGTGCTTGGTCTTGCCGCAACCTCATTGCCTTCACCACTGACCTTCGAAATGATGACCAAGGTGTGCCTCCTTGCCCCCCAGCCCAGCCCCCCTCCCCTGGTGTCCCCACTGGGGAACTGGGTCTCCAGGCCTGCCTGGGAGTCACCCCTCACCCATGTGGGCCCTCTCAGGGTTTTCTCATCTACAGTTGGGGGTGGTGAGGACCCTAGCCTCACAGGTGTGCAAAGGGCAGATGCACTGCTCTCCTACACCTGGTGCTGGGGTGGGGTAGGGGGGAAGACCCTGGAATCACCCCTTTGGGATGGAACGGGGCAAGGGATGTGTGGTCCCCTAGGGCTTGGAGACTTGATGTGCAGTTTTCCAGACCATACGTGTTACTATCTTGTTTTGGGAAGCCTCGAAGTTACTTTGCTGGGACTTATTTTCTGTCTATTGTTTAAACAATGCGTGCTTGTTGGAGAAAATTAGAAAAGCAGAGAAATTTAGCGTAAGGAATAAAAAACCATGGAGTGATGCCCACCGTTAACATTTGGGGATCATTTTCTTCCAGTTTTTTCTACATCTCTT